TAAGCTTCCTAAGGTTCTGTTATATCTTAGTAAGTTGAGTTGCTTAGTTTGTTGCGTCGGTTCACTTCCTGACTTGGTGATTACACAATGCACATTACCATTCTATTTCATTTTTGTGCAAAATAAAATGATGCGATACGATGCTAAAAGTTTAAAATACAAACACCTTTTCAAAAGCTGTTTCATTCCATCATGTTTTACAACGAACAAAGGTACAAGTTTTACGAAAAATAAAACTACCTAACAATGTGCAAAGTGCTACAAACTACTAGCAAAAAGAAAAATAAAGCAGGAAACAGCAGCATCAATGTCCTTGGGAGCGGGAATGAGAAGCACTCCTTATCCTCTTCTGCGGGACAACCTCTGCACCATCATCATCATCTGAATCGGAGCTGTCATCCTCAGGATCCCCCTCAGCCTCGCCTCTATTCCCCGAACCACGACCGGAGCCCCCCTCCTCAGCAGATGTCTCTGACTGATGGTCGGTAGCCTCCTCCTCCTCCTCAACATCCTCCTCCTTCTCATCAGGCTTCGCCTCTACAACGTGAGCCCTGCGTCTGCGGACAGGCCCTCCTCGAGCTCCTCGAAAAGGCCTAGATGGCCCGGCTCCTCGGAAGGGCCGGGATGGCCCAGCCCCCTGGAAAGGCCCGGATGACCCAACTCTGTGAAATGGCCCAGATGGCCCAGCTCCCCAAGGAGGCCCAGGTGGCCTGGCCTGCGGCTGACCGGACCATGAAGGTATCTGAAAACAAAGAGTGCAATTCAAATACATCAGTCCAAATATATACATCAGATGCAGATACAAGCAAAGACTACGTGAAGTGGGTGCATGTAAATACAGTGTACAAGTGGGGTGTGTGTCAGATGTGCTCTACACAAGTAGTCTATCGACGCAGTAGAAATCAGCATGTCATCAGAAGTATGATAAATGCCAGAAAACTGAAGGGTACCTGAATGCCCGCGATAGACAACTGTGCCTCCCTCCGCAGGACCATGCCCTCGAGTGTGGCCACCAGTCCAACCACCTCCTCCACGTACCCTCGCGATGGCTGCAAATGTGAGCTCATAATCATCAGTGAATCAAAGAGTGTCTAAACGTCTGAATGATGAATGAAAAACAGTGGAGCATACCAGCGGTGAGTCAGGATCAATGGCGTATCGATCACTTGGCATCGGGGGCTCTAGCGGGATCGGAGTCGGAGAGATAGCCCCATACTGCCACGCCATCAACTCAGTTGGCATATCTGGCCATCCAGGATGAGGATAAGTCGGAGGAGTTGGAGGAACCGATCTACCCCTACCTCTAGATGTACCAGCTCTACTAGTAGAAGGGGCGTCTGCAGCCTGAGCCCGGGCCTAGCCCGAGGATGACATACCAGCAGGCCTCGTCATCGGGGTACGAGCTCCCGTCAATGGAGGCATCAAATATGTATGGCGGTAAATGCCGTAATCCCCCTCCTCGAGATATAATAATGCATCGCTACCCAGCATAGCGCCGACTACCTCCGAGAAAGAGAGCCTGTCAGCAATCCGCATACTGACTGGGGGTACTGAGGGAGGATCCTGAGAAAGATACCCCCATACCTGACGCAGAAAGCGTTCCCCCAGAAACCATGCTCTACCAACAGGTCCTTCGAGCAGGAACCTGTACTGGGAGGTGCCCGATCCTCCGGGATACTGAAATCGGAGACCATCGCCCAAGGGTGCCCAAGGCTGCCATGTAATCTGCGGATAACAAGTGAATAAACCAATCAGAAATCAGGAACGTGCAGGGCAAATCAGAGATAAAAATGGGAAGAACTGAGGGTTCTGAAGTACCTCCGATGGGCGCACAGTGTCAAAATACTGTCGCAGATAAATGAGAGTCTCTCGGGGTCTCGGCCGGTGCGGGCCCTCGAACACCAGTGAATATGGGGTCATGGGGGGCCCTGCCACCTCCAACTCTGGAGCTAATGCTGGGAAAACGACCATTCATATATCTCAGGAAGCGTGAAACGCGACCCTGAGTAGTTTTTCTCCTCTTCTCACGATTTCAGCGTGATTAGAGTATCTCAGGACGCGTGAAACGTGACCTTGTGCGATTTTTCTCCACTTCTCACAATTTCAACGTGATTAGAGTATCTTAGGATGCGTGAAACGCGACCCTACAGCAGGTATAGCCCGACTGTGTTCCCTCTATCGGCGAACAGGGTAGTCCCGAAGAGGAACATAAGGAAACCACGGGCGTACTGCTCCGTCTCCTCAGGAGTCTCGGGCACCATCTCCGCCCGCCGGAAGTGGGAAGAGAACCAAGTGTATCGGACTCTCCCAGAAACCCTGTCAACAGGCGGGCGAGCCCCCAAAAGATACATCCAAGCGGCCTCCCACTCGTCCATGTCCTCATCATAAGGGATGGCCCAACCTCCTGTATCCAGGCCGGTCAGCACAGCAAAGTCCAGAGGTGTCATGGTCATGTCTCCAGTGGCAGAGAAATTAAAGGAGTTGGTGGTGTCCCACCATCTCTCTACCAAGGCTGCCATCAATGCCCTCCTGGCAGGACAACATGATAATCCAGTGCAGAAGGTCCCGAATCCTGCCAAGTCCACTAAATCCCGGACGGCCTCCGGGAGCTCACCATACCATTCTCGCGCGGTGATGGAGCCATACCCCCGTACGCTGCGAGAACCGACCTGCATTCAGAATGAATACATGTGTCAGTATGAAATGAACGAGCTGTGTGCCAATGAAATGAATGAGTTGTGTGCCAATGAAATGAATGAGCTGTGTGCCAATAAAGTGAATGAACTGTGTGTTCAAGAGTGAAGTGAATGAACTGTGTGTTCAAGAGTGAAGTGAATGAACTGTGTGTTCAAGAGTGAAGTGTATCAACTGCGTGTTCACTATCCATATCTGGGCTGCGTGTTCAGAAAATTAAAGTTTGGGCTGCGTGTTCAACTTTCAATCAGTGTGGGCTGCGTGTTCACTATTCTAATCTGGGCTGCGTGTTCAGAAAATTTAAAGTTTGGGCTGCGTGTTCAACTTTCAATCAGTGTGGGCTGGGTGTTCACTATTCTAATCTGGGCTGTGTGTTCAGATAATTTAAAGTTTGGGCTGCGTGTTCAACTTTCAATCAGTGTAGGCTGCGTGTTCACTATTCTAATCTGGGCTGTGTGTTCCGAAAATTTAAAGTTTGGGTTGCGTGTTCAACTTTCAATCAGTGTGGGCTGCGTGTTCACTATTCTAATCTGGGCTGTGTGTTCAGAAAATTTAAAGTTTGGGCTGCGTGTTCAAAAAATTTAAAGTATAGGCTGTGTGTTCACTTTCGAATTCGGGCTGTGTGTGTTCGACAAATCAGTGTTTGAGCTGTGTGTTCATTTCTTGACCAATGTGTGCTGTGCGCTCGCAATTAATTAATGAGCCGAGTGTTCAGAAATTCGAGTGTTTAAACTACATGTTCAGGATGCAAGCAAAGTACTATGTCATAAGCTAAACTGTGTGTTCAAGCATAGCAAAGGTACGAAATATACAAAAAATGCAGAAAATGAAGTAAATACCTCTCGGGCCTCATGAGAGAGATGATGCTCTGGCTCTCGGAGAAGCAGATCCCCGGGTGCTCGCTCGTCAAAGCTAGTAAAGTGACGGAAGACAGCACGAGGGAGGACATGTGCTGGCGGACGGTACCTCCCGGGAATAAAAGGTCGGGTCCTCGGGGGCAAAGTCATGGGATCAAAATCGTCCCCGGCACCCGGAAAACCTCCGCCGTGGGGAGAATTACCCGCCATTTTCAGAAAGTCTGCAAAAAGGAGCAAAAATGAGCGAAAATCGGCCAAAATTGGAAAAAGTCAACAAAAGTCAACTCTCGGGAAATGAAAAAGTCAACAGAAGTCAACTCTCGAGAAAATCTTCCAAATATTGAGACAAACTTACCTCAAGTGGCGAAAATGCGAAAAGAAGCTCCGAAACCGAAATTTAATCGCTTCAAAGTGCTTGAAACTGAATATTTTTGCGAAAACAATTTGCGCGGGGCGTTGGAAAACGCGTATGGAATTCAGATCTGGAGAAGAAAGTGTTGTAGGAGGCAAGAAAGGAAGAGATCTCGGCTGCATTATATAGGCTCCAAGTCATGGGATGAAGGAACATAAAAAAGGGAGATGAAAAGACCAAAATGCCCTCGGATTTGGGCATATGGCCGGCCGGCCACCTTTTCTAGCCGGCCAGCCATTTCCTTTTTGGAAAACCGGCCGGCCAGCTATTTGCTTTTTGGAAAACCGGTTGGCCACCTCCCCCTTCCCATAAAACCGACCGGCCATGTCCCTTACAGGCTCACCTAGCTCCCTGCAAATTTTGAGGAAGATCGGAGTTCCCGGGACCTGAAAAAGTTCAAGAAAAGTACACTTCCGGTCGCGAAATGATCCGCCGGGACTTCAGCTTCAAGTTCTGACATATGTCTCATCATCATTCATCGAAATCGAAGTGTATCGTTTTTGAATGAGTTGTAGCCTTTCCGGGAAACGGATCGGAGGCCGTGATCGAGTTGCCTTCGCCGAAACACGCGTTTTCGTACTCGTTATTTCATGACAAACGGGCACCCTGATTCGTGCTCATCTCGCACTATCATGCACATAACTTGCATTCTCATGAGCATACTCTCATTTTTATGCACACTTCTTGATATTGGCATACCTCTATGCTTGAGCATGCGTTGTCACGCATGTTCCACTCTTGCATTGCGATGCATTCACTCACCGGCACTGCGTGTGTCAAACTTCCAGAATCACATTGGATATATGTTGGTAGCATATTGTACTTGTTGAAATTTCTCTCTTTTGCAGGCACGATATTGTATGTACGGTTCAATTGAGGCTGGTGCGACCAGACGAATCGCGCAGGTATCGTATCTTCTCCGTGTGAGACGTGGCGGGGATTGAATAATCCTCCGCATTCTTAACTGCATGAAATGTAGTTGTTGCTTTGCATTCTTGCTTAAAACTGTTGCATCTATTTGCGAATATTTGCCTCATTACAGCTTGCTGCATTTGCATGATCATAAAGGTCATTTTTTTGAGTTCAT